TCTCCCCTATCTTTAATTTCTAAGGAGATGATGATCTTTGCTTTTTGTGAGAGAACCGCATCTCAATATCTTTGTATGGAGTCAAGTGTGTGTGTATATTTATATGTACACACACACACTTGATATATATATATATATATGTACATATATCGTGTGTATGTGTGTGTGTATATATATATATGTTTCCCCCCCTGTGTAGCTATCACACAGTGAGGCAATTGCTTTCTTTCTAGGAGCCATCATCTACTATTAGCTGCAGTGCGAAGTGTGCTCTTCTATATTATCTGGTACACTAAATAAATTCAATGGGGTAATAAGAACCAATTCATTGTGTTGGCACTAAAGACCCGGTGAATTAGTAGTGATAGGGAAGACACATTCAAAGATAAATGTCTTGTTTTAATTGCACTATTGTAGCATTTGAATAAAGAGAGTGACATTTCCTTCAAATAGTCTGTAAGTAAAGTCTGTCATTATATAAATGGTAACATATCATTTATGTCTTCAGATTAACTAAAGTGTAATAAACACTTTCCCTTTGTTGATTATATACATTTGGGGACTGTAAAATCAGTGCTGCTAATGTAATTCTGAATTAGTATTGATACCAATTACAGTTGTTATACCACTGAAAAATTAGGCAATATGGAAGCTTTAGAATTAAATTAGAAAAGATAGTCTATACATACTTTATAAAAAGTAGAAGCACCAATTAAAAACAACTACAATATACACTCAAGAGCTTGTGACAAAATACATATACAAATAACATATCATTCAAGAATGTGGGTTCCCTAAAAGGGAAGTTTGTTTGCTTTTTTCCAGCTTTACCTTCAGTAACTAGAAGAATAGCTGGCCCATAATGTTTCTTAATAAATATTTGTTGAGTGAATAGAAGTTATAAACATTATCCTATGTCCCATCTTCTCATGAGTACTTAAAGCTTATTTACACACTACTTACTGTCTTAGTTCATTAGGAAAGGGCTTAAAATATAATATTAAAAATCTACCTCTATTCATTCTATGGTCCTAATGCCTCTTCTCAAATATTAAGCAGTATTATTTTATGTTACAAATTTGAGAACTTAGGTTCTAAGAAGTTAGAAAGGTAAGGCATGATGGCTCATGCATGTAAGCCCAGCACTTTGGGAGGCCGAGGCAGATGGATCACAAGGTGAGGAGTTCAAGACCAGCCTGGCCAACATGGTGAAACCCCGTCTCTACTAAAAATACAAAAGTAAGCCAGGTGTGGTGGTGGGTGCCTGGAATCCCAGTGACTCAAGTGAGGCAGGGAAATCACTTGAACCTGGGTGGTGGAGGTTGCAGTCGGCCGAGGTTGTGCCACTGTGTTTCAGCCTGGGTGACAGAGCGAGACTCAATCTTAAAAAAAAAAAAAAAAGTTAAAAAATGTGGCCACTATCACATGCCTGTGAAATCACATAGCTATTCTGTGGTCCTCTCATAACTTTCAGCTGTTACCTCTGCACACAATCCCTGACACACAGCTAGAAGCAACACTGTCTTGGCTCTATTTGTGTAACAAATAGAATCAGAATATTATACTATTAACATAGGAAATGAATAGGTGTAGGGAATCCCTTACCCCACACATTGGGTGCCAGAATGTAGAGATCTATGAGCCCCACGTTGAGCCCCACATTGTAGGGAGCCAGCCTTACATCACCCGGGGAAACTCCGAGTTTGGTGGTGACAAAAGAATGAGAAAAGACAGATTAAGAGAGATAGTGGGACCAGGGGCCATCACTCTATTACTTTGGAGGAAACAGTGAAGGCCTTGAGCTCTGATCATCCACACTATTTATTGATTACAGCTACTTTGATCTATAGGGTAGGATGGAGTGATAGTGGAGTGAATCAGTGAGCTGGAAGTGAATCAGTGAGTTGGAAGTGGTGTGTCATCCTAAGAATTGATAACAGTGGCAGTTTGGGAGTTTCACAAAACAATAATGTGGTTATCTTTAACTTATTATCTATGTGCAGCTGGTGGAACTCGGGCCTTACAAGGAGCCTACAAGTCTGGCTACATCATAGTGCTATGAAGAGATTTTACATCCCTGAGCACAGTGTTTATGGTAACAGAGCTGAGGTCACCCTGCACCAGAACATGAGGCATGAAGAGTTCTTCCTCCTCAGAGGCCTCCTGTGGCCTCCTCAGTTTGTTGTTCCCTGTTTATATGTTACTCATAACCAATTTATGGAGGCCCTCTGTAAATCCTTTCTCCTCTGCTGTTTTTCCCAATAAATAGGTTTAATAGTACTGTAAGCTAGCTTAGTATTATTGAAATTTTATACAATAAAGAAACAGCAGTAGTTTGCAATAAGCAGTTGACTACCAGGGCATTGTGAAAAGAGACTTTAAATGCCAATGTCTAGAGCACCCTTCATAAATAGAAAAATTATAATTATTCTGATATCAATCTGCTAACAAAAAAACTAGCCTTGATGGAGAGGAATTCCTTTTATCTGAATGGATTTGAGACCCTAGTTTTGCTATGTTTTGTTGCAGTAAGAAACCGCTACAAATCTCTCAATCATGATTTCAGTAATGCTAATATGGCATGTGGGCTTGTTGTATCTCTGCTATACATTGGCTAAAGGACAGATCTCTACCTGAAACCTTCCATTCTCCTGGCAGAAGGAAAGAGATGTAACAGAAATACCCAATGGTTTTTAAAATTTCTATGAGTACATGATGTACATAACTTCCATTCCCATTCTATTAGTCAGAGCAAATCATGTGGTCAGGCTCAACTCCAGTGAAGCAATGTGGTATATTCATTCCCATAGGTACTAAAAGTCAAATGGCAATAGGAGGTGAGATAGGATTCATTTTATGGAAAGGAGGTGTGTGAGTTATCAGAAACACAATACATTCTACTACTCCATCTGTATTTGTTTCCTAGGGATGCCTAACAAAATACCGCGAGCTGGGTGGCTTAAAATAAGTTTGTTGTATTACTGTTCTGGAGGTCAAAAGTCAGAAATTATAGTGTTAACCAGGTCCTGTTACCTCTAAGACTATGGGTAAATTTCTTCCTTACCTTCAGTGGTGGTCATTAATCCTTAGCATTTTTTGGCTTGCAGCTGCGTCACTCCAATCTCTCCTCATATGGCATTCTCCCTGTGTGTTGCTCTCCATATGACATTTTCCTCTTCCTATAAGGACACCAGTCTTATTGGATTAGGGGCCCATTCTATTCTAGTATGACTTCTTCTGAATTTGATTCCATTTTTGTAGAATCTATTTCCAAATAAGGTCACATTTATAGGTGCCTGGTTTAGGACTTAAGCATACATTTTGTGGAGACACAATTTATCCCATTACACTGTCTCGGACTACTTCTCACCTCTTGTAATACATCCAGGATCTTCTTCACATTCTCCTTCTAATATACATACTTTGTTCTGCTATCTCTAATTTCTGGGTTTATTGTAGATTGATATCTTATTTTCAACTCTGCCAGTGTCTTCAATTTCATAATCTAATGGGACAGTGTTGATCAAATTATAACCATTTAGTTAAATTTATTCTTATCCTTACGTAATCTAACAGGACTAGATGCAAGATAGATCAATAGATTTTAATAGAATATGGAAAGCACATTGACATAATTTCAGATTCCTCATTGAAACCAATCTTTAAAAATCTACCATTTGTCCAGTTTTGGTTATGTCAAATAATAACATTTACAGTCATTTGACAAGGCAAGTAAAATGTTTATTTTCCCAAATCGTACTATCTGTGTGAGGCTGGATTTTCATCATATATTTCAATCGAAAGGGCATATTGCAACAGATTAAATGCAGAAGCAGGTATGAGAAACCAGCTGTCTTATATTAAGCACAGTATTTAAAAAGCTGTGCCATAAGAAAAGGAAAACAGTGCACTTTTGTGACTAATTTTTTGTATGAAAACTATATATTTTTAAATAAAATATGTTCTTATGTTAACACATAGCAGGTTTACTACTGTTATTTTAAATAAGGTAATAAAAATTTTTCAGCGTCTCAGTTTTAATCTCTTATGTGGTAAATACAGATAGATATAACCTGCATAAATAAAGAAAAGTTGTTGGTGTCATCAATATCAAAAAATTTGAGAGTCACTGATGTGGAAAATCAATGGGGCATTTGGCATGAGTTGGGACTGATAGCCTTTCCTCTTAATAGAAACGATAGAAATTTTTAGGCCAAATATTTACCACCAAATATGGAAATCTTTCTACAACTGCTTCATTCAATCTTCCTTCCCCTTTTAAATAAGGGATAAGGTATCATGTTTCCTATGTAGGATCTTTCTCTACTTGTGTCCTGAAACCAGCAGACTGCCATAGGCCTGGGCTATTGCTTGTCTCTTCTCTCCTTTATCTTGTTTGATCCATCCTTCTCTACCAGCTGTACTCTTACCACCCTTTACATGAGTTTCATTTGTTCACATTGAAAATAATGGACACTTTTAAATTCTCATAGTCATACGCACACCAAGATTTTATTGTATTAGTGAAAACAGTGCTAGACAAATCGAACATATTAGTGAATGTCAGTTGTTATTTTCTACTTTGTTGCTTCAACAAGAAACCTGGGTGACATTCTTAAAATCTCCGACTCCCTAACATCCTCCCATTTACATCCAATTAATCATAAAATTTTAGTAATTTTTCTGACTGAAGATTGCTAAAATCTACTCTTGTACCACCATTGGCATTACTGCAACCTTGATCTCATGTTTGAGCTGAACATAACCCCACCAACTAATTTTACTAGTCTATTCCTGCCCCTTCCTAGCCCTTTTCTATACTACAGCCTAAACTGTTATGAACAACAATTTTGATCATGTAGCCATTATTCACAAAGCCCATTAATGTCTCACTCACTAGGGCTAGTGGAGGGTTGAGCTCTTCCAATATGCAGACAAAGAGAAGAGAGACACTGGAAGCCACTGTTGCTGATCTGATGTACTATTCCTCCAGAGAGAGAAGTAAAGAAAGCATCTGATTTGATCCATAATTTCAGCATAAGTTTTCTTAGATCTGAGGAGGAAAACCTGTCTTATTATTTTTTGATTATTTTTTCCAGGAAGTTTAGAAACTCTGGATGGGTGGCTCACGCCTGTAATCAGCACTTTGGGAGGCCGACGTGGGTGGATCACGAGGTAAAGAGATCAAGACCATCCTGGTCAACATGGTGAAACCCCGTCTCTACTAAAAATATAAAAAATCAGCTGGGCATGGTGGCGCGTGCCTGTAATCCCAGCTACTCAGGAGGCTGAGGCAGGAGAATTGTCTGAACCCAGGAAGCGGAGGTTGCAATGAGCCGAGATCGCGCCATTGCACTCCAGCCTGGGTAACAAGAGCGAAACTCCGTCTCTGGAAAAAAAAAAAAAAAAAAAAAAAGAAACTCTGGATAGGAGCTTGGAATAATTATGGGAAGTCAAAATAGAAACAGTCAGATAATCAGGTGGAAGGATGTGGTCTAGGGAAATAAGAAAGTTAAAGGTTAATTATGTTATCTTTTTTCAATATTCTTGCTCAATGATAGGGATTGCCATTGTCACTGTGGAGAAAAATTGAAAGCCTGATTTCTAATTTTTATTTGGTTACATGCTTGTATTGTGGAAAAAAAAAAAAAAAGCAGAAGTAAAAAAGGTTTTTCAGCTGAGAATTTTAGCTAGAGCTTTATGTCCACTCAAGAGAAATACTTCAGAATAAAATAGGCCAAAGTGTTTGACTTCCTGGCATACATTTTTAACAATTAAATTGGGCTACCTTAACAAGCCATTTCAAAGACATTTTCTGTTTGAAGCAGCCTGGCCCCTTAGTGTGAGAGGATGTAGCTTGATTATCTGTCAGTAAACCAGGAAAAGACTTTCAGGTGGTCTTACTTGGATGGAAAACCTGGCTCTGGGAGAGAGAAAATGCTTTGGGGCTAAGAGGCAAAGGCATGGGACAAAGCCAGGAGAAGGAAATTTAGAGCATACAATGAACTGGAAAAAACTCAAACAAGGTGCAGCGGGAAAGTACTGATGACATTATTTATTCTGGGAACACTGACCCCTTCTCTGGGTGAAAGACTGAACCCACTCACCTCATCAAAACAAGCCAAGATTGTGTGCTTCTCAGGGAAATGTCAGACTAAAGGTACACTAACTAAACCCCTTTTATTATGAAAGTTTTGAATATTTTCTGTAGCACCTGGTTTTCGAAAGCAGAATCTAGAGAAGAGATTCTGAGACATTATCAAAGAAAAATTGAACTTTATGGTGTTAAACAGGCAAAGAAGACTTTAATCAAAGCCCTAGCAATAAGCAAGACTGAACTCAACTCTCCTGGAACAAAAAGGAAAACGGTTCTTTAAGCACTGGGGTGAGCTGGTGGAAAGTACTGAAGGATGAAACCTAGGAGATAGGAGCACTCCCACCTTTAAAGGCTACATTTAACAGGATGGCTCCAGGCTCTTGAGAAAGACCTTTCTGGGTTGTAAAAGTGACTTTTTAAAAGACTTACTTCTCAAAGGGGAAGAGAAAAAATTTGTAACTGACAGTTTTTCTGGAAAAAAAAAAAAAAAAAAGAAAAGAAAAAGTGCTCTAAGAAGAAAAGGGAGGTCAGGGAAAGAAGCCTGCATTTTAGTGAAGCTGAATGGAATGCTTAGGACTTCTTTGCCAACACAGATTACAACTAAGCTGATGTGTTTAAGACGACAGTGAGATTGAAGATCCAAATCATTGCTTCTCTACTAGTAACAGAAAAGTCTTCAATAATATGTATAATGTGTAATATAAAATATAATAAATGATAAATAATATGAATAACTGGCTTAAACAATAAAAGGAATATATTGGTTCATGTAACTGAAATTTCCAGATAAAGTTTATGAATGATTTAATCCACACTGAAGAAGTTTCTTTTTTAAAAGAGTGTTTTAATTTTAATTTTATTTAATATTTCCATAAGTTATTGGAGTACAGGTGATATTTTGTTACATGTTAAGTTTTTAAATGGTGATTTGTGTGATTCTGGTGCAATTATCACCCAAGCAGTATACCCTGCACCGTATTTTTGGTTTTTTATCCCTCACCTGCCTCCCACCATCCCCCTTAAGTCCCCACAGTCCATTATATAATTCTTATACCTTGGTGTCCTCATAGCTTAACTCCCACACATCAGTGAGAACATACCATGTTTGGTTTTCCATTCCTGAGTTACTTCACTTAGAATAGTAGTCTCGAGTCTCATCCAGGTCACTGTAAATGCTGTTAATTGATTCCTTTTTATAGCTGAGTAGTATTCTATCCTATATACATACCACAGTTTTGTATCTACTCATTGATTGATGGGTATTTGGGTTGGTTCCACGATTTTGCAATTGTGAATTGTGCTGCTATATACATGTGTTTGCAGGTATCTTTTTTGTATAATGACTCCTTTTCCTTTGGGTAGATACCCACTAGGGGCATTGCTGGATCAAATGGTAGCTCTACATTTAGTTCTTTAAGAAGTCTCCATACTGTTTTTTATAGTGGCTGTACTAGTTTACATTTCCACCAGCAGTGTAGACGTGTTTCCTTATCACTGCATCCATGCCAATGTCTACTGTTTTTAAATTTTTTCATTATGACCATTCTTGCAAGAGTAAGGTGATATAGCATTGTGGTTTTGGTTTGTATTTCCCTGATCATTAGTAATATCATATGTTTGTTGGCCATTTGTATATCTTATTTTGAGAATTGTCTGTTCATGTTTTTAGCTCACTTTTTGATGGGATTGTTTGTTTTTTTCTTACTGATTTGTTTGAGTTCATTGAAGATTCTGGATATTAGTCCTTTGTCAGATGTATAGATTGTGAAGGTTTTCTCCCATTGTATGGGCTGTCTTTTTACTCTGCTGACTGCTCCTTTTGCATATAAAAGCTCTTTACTTTAATTACGTCCAAACTATTTGTCTTTGTTTTTATTGCATTTGGTTTTGGGTTCTTGGTCATGAAATGCTTGCCTAAGCCAACGTCTAGAAGGGTTTTTTCAATGTTATCTTCTAGAATTTTTGTAGTTTTAAGTCCTTAAGCCACCTTGAGTTGATTGGTTTTTTTTTTTTTTTTTTTTTTTTTTTTTTTGAGACTAATTCTCTCTCTGTTTCTAGGCTGGAATGCAGTGGCACAATCCTGGCTCACTGCCACCTCCACCTCCTGGTTCAAGCGATTCTCCTGCCTCAGCCTCCTGAGTAGCTGGGACTACAGGTGTGTACCACCATACCCAGCTAATTTTTGTATTTTTATTTTTTTAGTAGAGATGGGGTTTCACCATGTTGACCAGGATGATCTTGATCTCTTGATCTCGTGATCCGCCCACCTTGGCCTCACAAAGTGCTGGGATTACAGGCATGAGCCACCACATACAGCCTTTGAGTTGATTTTTATGTAAGGTGAGAGATGAGGATCCAGTTTCATTCTCCTACATTTGGCTAGCCAATTATCCCAGCACCATTTGTTGAAAAGGGTGTCCTTTTTCCACTTTATGTTATGTTTGCTTTGTTGAAGATCAGTTGGCTGTAGGTATTTGGGTTTATTTCTTTGTTCTCTATGCTGTTCCATTGGTCTATATGCCAATTATTTTATACCAGTACTGTGCTGTTTTGGTGAATATGGCCTTATAGTACAGTTTGAAATCATTTTTTTTTCCTCAATCTTGCTTTGGCTATGTGGACTCTTTTTTGGTTCCATATGAATTTTGTATTTTTTTTTTTTTAATTCTGTGAAGAGTGATGGTGGTATTTGATGGGGATTGCACTGAATTTGTAGATTGCTTTTGGCAGTGTGGTCATTTTCACAGTATTGATTCTACCCATCCATGAGCATGGGATGTGTTTCCATTTGTTTGTGTCAACTATGATTTCTTTCAGCATTGTTTTATAGTTTTCTTTGTAGAGGTCTTTTGACTCCTTGGTTAGGTTTATTTCTAAGTATTTTATTTTAATTTTTTGCAGATATTGTGAAAGGGGTTGAGTTCTTGATTTGATTCTCTGCTTGGTCACTGTTGGTGTATAAAAGAATGACTTATTTGTATAACTTAACCTTGTATCTGGAAACTTTGCTGAATTCTTTTACCAGTTTGGGGAGCTTTCTGGAGGCATCTTTAGTGTTTTCAGGGTAAATAATTTTATCATCAGCAGACAGTGACATTTGGACTTCCTCTTTACTGATTTGGATACCGTTTATTTCTTTCTTTTGTCTGATTGTTTTGGCCAGGACTTCCAGTAGTATGTTGAAGAAGAGTGGTGAGACTAGGCATTCTTGTCTTGTTCCAGTCCTCAGAGAGAATACTTTCAACTTTTCCCCATTGAATATTATGTTGCCTGTGCATTTATCATAAATGGCTTTTATTGAGGTATATCCTTTGTATGCTGATTTTGCTGAGAGTTTTAATCATAAAGATGCTGGATGTTATCAAATGTTTTTTCAACATCTATTGAGATTATTGATATGGTTTGGCTATGTCTCCACCAAAATCTTGACTTGAATTGTTTCTCCCAGAATTCCCACCTGTTGTGGGAGGAACCAGGGTGAGGTAATTAAATCATCGGGGCTGGTCTTTCCAGTGTTATTCTAGTGATAGTGAATAAGTCTCACAAGATATGATGGGTTTATCAGGGGTTTCCACTTTTGCTTATTCCTCATTTTCTCTTACCATTGCCATGTAAGAAATGCCTTTCTCCTCTTGCCATGATTCTGAAGCCTCCCAGCCATGAGGAACTATAAGTCCACCTTTCCAGTATTGTGTGTGTCTTTATCAGCACTATGAAAATAGACTAATACAGTAAATTAGTACCAGAAGTGAAGTGTTGCTGAAAAGATACTCAAAAAGTTGGAAGCGACTTTGAAACTGGGTAACAGGCAAGGGTTGGAACTGCTTGGAGGGGTCAGAAGAAGACAGGAAAATGTGGGAAAGTTTGGAACTTCCTGGAGACTTGTTGAATGTCTTTGTTTAAAATGCTGATTGTGATATGGACAACTAGGTCCAGGCTGAGGTCGTCTCAGATGAGATGAGGAATTTGTTGGGAACTGGAGAAAAGGTAACTCTTGTTATGTTTTAGCAAAGAGACTGGCAGCATTTTGCTCCTGACCTAGCGATTTGTGGAACCTTGAACTTACGAAAGATGATTTAGGGTATCTGATAGAAGAAATTGCTAAATAGCAAATCATTCAAGTGGTGACTTGGGTGGGTACTGTTAAAGGCATTCAGTTTTATAAGGGAAAGAGAATGAAACTTAAGAAAATTTGTAGCCTGACTATGCAATAGAAAAGAAAATCCCATTATCTGGAGAGAAATTCAATTAAGCTACAGAAATTTACATAGGTAGCAAGGAACCTAATGTTAATCCCCAAGACCATGGTGAAAATGTCTCCAGACCATGTCAGAGACCTTCACAACAGCACTTCCCATTACAGGCTCAGAGGTTCAGGAGGAAAAAGTGATTTTGTGGACCAGGCCTGTGGTCCCCAAGCTGTGTTTAGCTTAGGGACTTGGTCCCCTGTTTCCCAGCCACTCCAGCGGTGACTGAAAGGGGCCAATGTACAGCTCAGTCTGTGGCTTCAGAGTGCAAGCCCCAAGTCTTGGCAGCTTCCACATGATGTTGAGCCTGCAGGTGCCCAGAAGCCAAGAACTGAGGTTTGGGAACATCCACCAAGATTTCAGAAGATGTATGAAAATGCCTGGATGCCCAGGCAAAAGTAAGCTGCAGGGGAAGGGCTCTCATGGAGAACCTCTACTAGGGCAGTACAGAAGGGAAATGTGGAGTCTCTACCAGGTGGAGTCCCTACTGGGTCACTGCCTAGTGGAGCTGTGAGGAGAAGGCCACTGTCTTCCAGATCCCAGAATGTTAGATCCACCAAAATCTTATACTGTGGGCCTGGAAAAGCCACAGACACTCAGTGCCCCTCCTTTAAAGCAGCTGGGAGGGAGGCTGTACCTTGCAATGCCACAGGGGTGGAGCTGCCCAAAACTATGGAAATCTACCTCTTGCATCACCGTGAACTGGATATAAAACCTGGAGTCAAAGGAGATCATTTTTGAGCTTCAAAATTTGACTACTCTGCTGGATTTTGGAGTAACTAGCTTGCTTTTGATTTTACAGGCTCATAGGTTTGAGGGACTTGACTTGTCTCCAATGAGATTTTAAACTGTGGAATTCTGGGTTAATGCTGAAATGAGTTAAGACTTTGGGGGACTGCTGGGAAGTCATGATTGATTTTAAAATTGGAGGACATGAGATTTGGAGGAGCCAGGGGTGGAATAATATGGTTTGGCTGCCTTCCCACTGAAATCTCAACTTGAATTGTATCTCCCAGGTTTCCAATGTGTTGTGGGAGAGACCCATGGGGAGATAATTGAATCAAGGGGGCCTGTCTTTTCTGTGCTATTCTTGTGATAGTAAGTCTCATGAGATCTACTGGGTTTATCAGGGGTTTCTACTTTTACTTCTTCCTCATTTTCTCTTGCTGCTGACCTGTGAGAAGTGCCTTTTACCTTCCGCCATGATTCTGAGGCCTCCCCCGCCATGTGTAACTGTAAATCCAATTAAAACTCCTTTCCTTCCCAGTCTCAAGTATGCCTTTATCAGCAGCGTAAAAACAGACTAATACAATGATCACGTGATTTTTGTTTTAAATT